ATTATCAATTGGACAGGAAAATCCCAATTATATGGGAATCCAATGCTACAATAAAATTTGCGCAATGAAGGAGTTCAGAGAATGTGAAACAACATTGCTCAAGAAATATCTCAAGAGTTTTTGGTACAGAAATGCTATTACTCACTGCAGGAATTTCTGAATGATACCTCTGACTGAGATCATACACATTACAAATCATGAGAGTAGTAGGTAGTCATATTTGCATTATATGCTAGACCACACTGTACAGAATAAGATCTGTTATTTTAATTAGCAAATGATGAAATTATTTTTAAAGAATGTGACATTGTAAGTCCGGATGTTATTTTATTTTTACATTATTTTATCATACGAACCAGGTTCCTATTGTACCAATAAGTGAACTAGCTCATCTGTTTGTGACGTGTCCCATAATGTATTGTACTTACCTGTATTGTGACATTCAGTGGACAAAATAAAATTCTATTCTATTCTATTCTATTCTATTCTATTCTATTCTATTCTATTCTATTCTATTCTATTCTATTCTATTCTATTCTATTCTATTCTATTCTATTCTATTCTATTCTATTCTATTCTATTCTATTATATTCTATTCTATTCTATTCTTATATAATGCCCATTTCACCAGGTATTCGGTATATAATTTCAAGAAATAATACAATTTCCACCCATACCATTGGTTGTATACGTCATTTTAGGTACCATTGATAACTGTAATGTTAGAAATAAACATTTTCCAAATCATTAGGTTTATATCGGTGAATCTTATAACGCTGTACTGGCGTAAAACGGCTCGCTGAACTCTGATCGCACGAAAAAAATAAAAAATATGTTTTCAATGAATTTTCATGAATTATAAAGATGAATGAAAATTTGTATGTTAGAAATTTGCTCATTATTGTAGGTGGAATTCGAAACTTGGAAAGTTATGAATCAAAGTTGATAGTGATTATGTATCCTGCCACAATTTTCTATGCCGAAATATTTAACGTTTTTTCTCCGAAGGGATAAATAAGATTTATTTCAGGTCTTGCCTAGGCTTGATCCTCATGAGATTACACTCTACCGCACTCCAGTGCTACTACGTATTACCCTTTCATTCCCGCGTCATCAGATATTTCTTCAGTACGCTTTAGCTTCGCAACGGTGCTATATACACACGGATGTAAAAACCCCCATACAACGTGTGCCGTTCGAGATTTGTGTTAGTTCCTGTGCGTGTCTTGTAGAATATCAGGTTTGCCTGCAGCTATGAGTATGAGTAAGTTAAAAGGAAAGGCGCCTCTCGGCACGTTCACTTCAATTCCATGCGAAATTCTGTTCATATCATCTGAAGTAGTTCCTAGTATATTTATGGAATTTTAAGCAGTGCTGATAGATCTTGATAAGCACCAGAGCATGGATCGATCTGTCATAAGTCACGATCTGGGCAGCTGTGCGGCTCGACCTGGTCAGCCGTATGGATCGTTTCGAGCAGCCGTACGGCTCGACTCAGTCAGCCGTTTGGTTCGATCCGATGAGCAGTTCGGCTCGATCCGAGGAGCCGTTTGGCTCGATCTGAGAAGCCGTTCGGCTCGATCTGAGGAACCGTTCGCCTAGATATGATGAGCCGTTTCGCCAGATCTGAAGAGCCGTTTCGCCAGATCTGAAGAGCCATATTGCTCGATCTGAGGAACCGTTCGGCTTGATCCGAGGAGCCATTCGGCTCGATCTGAGGAGCCGTTCGGCTCGATCTGAGGAACCATTCGGCTCGATCCAGAGCCGTTTGGCTCGATCTGAGGAGCCGTTCGGCTCGATCCGAGGAGCCGTTTGGCTCGATCTGAGGAGACATTCGGCTCGCTCTGAGGAGCCGTTTGGCTCGATCTGAGGAGCCGTTCGGCACGATCCAAGGAGCCGTTCGGCTCGATCCGAGGAGCCGTTTGGCTCGATCTGAGGAGACATTCGGCTCGCTCTGGGGAGCCGTTTGGCTAGATCTGAGGAGCCGTTCGGCTCGATCCGAGGAGCCGTTCGGCTCGATCCCAGGAGCCGTTTAGCTCGATCCCAGGAGCCGTTTGGCTCGATCTGAGGAGCCATTCGGCTCGATCTGAGGAGCCGTTCGGCTCGATCCGAGGAGCCGTTTGGCTCGATCTGAGGAGCCATTCGGCTCGATGTGAGGAACCGTTCGGCTTGATCCGAGGAGCCATTCGGCTTGATCTGGGGAGCCGTTCGGCACGATCTGAGGAGCCTTTCGGCTCGGTCTGAGGAACCATTCAGATCGATCTGAGGAGCCGTTCGGCTCGATCTGAGGAACCATTCGGCTCGATCCAGAGCCGTTTGGCTCGATCTGAGGAGCCGTTCGGCTCGATCCGAGGAGCCGTTTGGCTCGATCTGAGGAGACATTCGGCTCGCTCTGAGGAGCCGTTTGGCTCGATCTGAGGAGCCGTTCGGCACGATCCAAGGAGCTGTTCGGCTCGATCCGAGGAGCCGTTTGGCTCGATCTGAGGAGACATTCGGCTCGCTCTGGGGAGCCGTTTGGCTCGATCTGAGGAGCCGTTCGGCTCGATCCGAGGAGCCGTTCGGCTCGATCCCAGGAGCCGTTTAGCTCGATCCCAGGAGCCGTTTGGCTCGATCTGAGGAGCCATTCGGCTCGATCTGAGGAGCCGTTCGGCTCGATCCGAGGAGCCGTTTGGCTCGATCTGAGGAGCCATTCGGCTCGATGTGAGGAACCGTTCGGCTTGATCCGAGGAGCCATTCGGCTTGATCTGGGGAGCCGTTCGGCACGATCTGAGGAGCCTTTCGGCTCGGTCTGAGGAGCCATTCAGATCGATCTGAGGGGCCGTTCGGCTTGATCTGAGGAACCACTCGGCTTGATCCAAAGAGCCGTTTGGCTCGATCTGAGGAGCCGTTCGGCTCGATCCGAGGAGCCGTTCGGCTCGATCCGAGGAGCCGTTTGGCTCGATCTGAGGAGACATTCGGCTCGCTCTGAGGAGCCGTTTGGCTCGATCTGAGGAGCCGTTCGGCTCGATCCGAGGAGCCGTTTGGTACGATCCGAGGAGCCATTCGGCTCGATCTGAGGAGCCGTTCGGCTCGATCCGAGGAGCCGTTCGGCTCAATCCGAGGAGCCGTTCGGCTCGATCCGAGGAGCCGTTTGGCTCGATCTGAGGAGACATTCGGCTCGCTCTGGGGAGCCGTTTGGCTTGATCTGAGGAGCCGTTCGGCTCGATCCGAAGAGCCGTTCGGCTCGATCCCAGGAGCCATTTGGCTCGATCTGAGGAGCCATTCGGCTCGATCTGAGGAGCCGTTCGGCTCGATCCGAGGAGCCGTTTGGCTCGATCTGAGGAGCCATTCGGCTCGATGTGAGGAACCGTCCGGCTTGATCCAAAGCCTCGTTTGACTCGATCTGAGGAACTATTCAGCTCGATCTGAGGAGCCGTTTGGCTCAATGTGAGGAACCGTTCGGCTCGATCTGAGGAGCCGTTCAGCACGATCTGAGGAGCCGTTCGGCTCGATCTGAAGAGCATTTCGGGTCGATCTGAGGAGCCGTTCGGCTCGATCTGAGGAGCCTTTCGGCTCGATGTGAGGAACCGTCCGGCTTGATCCAAAGACTCGTTTGACTCGATCTGAGGAACTATTCAGCTCGATCTGAGGAGCCGTTTGGCTCAATGTGAGGAACCGTTCGGCTCGATCTGAGGAGCCGTTCAGCACGATCTGAGGAGCCGTTCGGCTCGATCTGAAGAGCATTTCGGGTCGATCTGAGGAGCCGTTCGGCTCGATCTGAGGAGCCTTTCGGCTCGATGTGAGGAACCGTCCGGCTTGATCCAAAGACTCGTTTGACTCGATCTGAGGAACTATTCAGCACGATCTGAGGAGCCGTTCGGCACGATCTGAGGAGCCGTTCGGCTCGATCTGAAGAGCATTTCGGGTCGATCTGAGGAGCCGTTCGGCTCGATCCGAGGAGCCGTTCGGCTCAATCCGAGGAGCCGTTCGGCTCGATCCGAGGAGCCGTTTGGCTCGATCTGAGGAGACATTCGGCTCGCTCTGGGGAGCCGTTTGGCTCGATCTGAGGAGCCGTTCGGCTCGAACCGAGGAGCCGTTTGGCTCGATCTGAGGAGACATTAGGCTCGCTCTGAGGAGCCGTTTGGCTCGATCTGAGGAGCCGTTCGGCACGATCCAAGGAGCCGTTCGGCTCGATCCGAGGAGCCGTTTGGCTCGATCTGAGGAGACATTCGGCTCGCTCTGGGGAGCCGTTTGGCTCGATCTGAGGAGCCGTTCGGCTCGATCCGAGGAGCCGTTCGGCTCGATCCCAGGAGCCGTTTAGCTCGATCCCAGGAGCCGTTTGGCTCGATCTGAGGAGCCATTCGGCTCGATCTGAGGAGCCATTCGGCTTGATCTGGGGAGCCGTTCGGCACGATCTGAGGAGCCTTTCGGCTCGGTCTGAGGAGCCATTCAGATCGATCTGAGGGGCCGTTCGGCTTGATCTGAGGAACCACTCGGCTCGATCCAAAGAGCCGTTTGGCTCGATCTGAGGAGCCGTTCGGCTCGATCCAAGGAGCCGTTCGGCTCGATCCGAGGAGCCGTTCGGCTCGATCCCAGGAGCCGTTTAGCTCGATCCCAGGAGCCGTTTGGCTCGATCTGAGGAGCCATTCGGCTCGATCTGAGGAGCCGTTCGGCTCGATCCGAGGAGCCGTTTGGCTCGATCTGAGGAGCCATTCGGCTCGATGTGAGGAACCGTTCGGCTTGATCCGAGGAGCCATTCGGCTTGATCTGGGAAGCCGTTCGGCACGATCTGAGGAGCCTTTCGGCTCGGTCTGAGGAGCCATTCAGATCGATCTGAGGGGCCGTTCGGCTTGATCTGAGGAACCACTCGGCTTGATCCAAAGAGCCATTTGGCTCGATCTGAGGAGCCGTTCGGCTCGATCCGAGGAGCCGTTCGGCTCGATCCGAGGAGCCGTTCGGCTCGATCCAAGGAGCCGTTCGGCTCGATCCGAGGAGCCGTTCGGCTCGATCCCAGGAGCCGTTTAGCTCGATCCCAGGAGCCGTTTGGCTCGATCTGAGGAGCCATTCGGCTCGATCTGAGGAGCCGTTCGGCTCGATCCGAGGAGCCGTTTAGCTCGATCTGAGGAGCCTTTCGGCTCGATCCGATGAGCCGTTCGGCTCGATCCCAGGAGCCGTTTGGCTCGATCTGAGGAGCCATTCGGCTCGATCTGAGGAGCCGTTCGGCTCGATCCGAGGAGCCGTTTGGCTCGATCTGAGGAGCCATTCGGCTCGATGTGAGGAACCGTCCGGCTTGATCCAAAGACTCGTTTGACTCGATCTGAGGAACCATTCAGCTCGATCTGAGGAGCCGTTTGGCTCAATGTGAGGAACCGGTCGGCTCGATCTGAGGAGCCGTTCGGCACGATCTGAGGAGCCGTTCGGCACGATCTGAGGAGCCTTTCGGCTCGATCTGAGGAGCCGTTCGGCTCGATCTGAGGAGCCGTTCGGCACGATCTGAGGAGCCTTTCGGCTCGATCTGAGGAGCCGTTCGGCACGATCTGAGGAGTCGTTCGGCTCGATCTGAGAAACCATTCGGCTCGATCTGAGGAGCCGTTCGGCTCGATCTGAGGAGCCGTTCGGCTCGATCCAAAGAGCCGTTCGGCTCGATCCGAGGAGCATTTCGGCTCGATCTGAGGAGCCTTTCGGCTCGATCTGAGGAACCATTCGGCTCGATCCGAGGAGCCGTTCGGCACGATCTGAGGAACTGATCGGCTCGATCTGAGGAACCGATCGGCTCGATCTGAGGAGCCGTTCGCCTAGATACGAGGAGCCGTTTGGCTAGATCTGAGGAGACATTTGGCTCGATCTGAGGAACCGTTCGGCTTGATCCGAGGAGCCATTCGGCTCGAGCTGAGGAGCCGTTCGGCACGATCTGAGGAGCCGTTCGGCTCGATCTGAGGAACCATTCGGCTAGATCCAAAGAACCGTTTGGCTCGATCTGAGGAGCCGTTCGGCTCGATCCGATGAGCCGTTTGGCTCGATCTGAGAAGCCATTCGGCTCCTGAGGAGCCGTTTGGCTCGATGTGAGGAACCGTTCGGCTCGATCCGAGGAGCCGTTTGACTCGATCTGAGGAGCCATTCGGCTCGATCCGAGGAGCTGTTCGGCACGATCTGAGGAGCCGTTTGGCTCGATCTGAGGAGCCGTTCGGCACGATCTGAGGAGCCGTTTGGCTCGATCCGAGGAGCCGTTTGGCTCGATCAGAGGAGCCATTCGGCTCGATGTGAGGAACCGTTCGTCTTGATCCGAAGAGCCATTCGGCTCGATCTGGGGAACCGTTCGGCACGATCTGAGGAGCCTTTCGGCTCGGTCTGAGGAGCCATTCAGATTGATCTGAGGGGCCGTTCGGCTTGATCTGAGGAACCACTCGGCTTGATCCAAAGAGCCGTTTGGCACGATCTGAGGAGCCGTTCGGCTCGATCCGAGGAGCCGTTCGGCTCGATCCGAGGAGCCGTTCGGCTCGATCCGAGGAGCCGTTCGGCTCGATCCGAGGAGCCGTTTGGCTCGATCTGAGGAGACATTCGGCTCGCTCTGAGGAGCCGTTTGGCTCGATCTGAGGAGCCGTTCGGCTCGATCCGAGGAGCCGTTTGGTACGATCCGAGGAGCCGTTTGGTTCTATCTGAGGAGCCATTCGGCTCGATCTGAGGAGCCGTTTGGCTCGATATGAGGAACCGTTCGGCTCGACTTGAGGAGCCGTTTGGCACGATCTGCGGAGCCGTTCGGTTCGATCTGAGGAGCCTTTCGGCTCGATATGAGGAGCCGTTCGGCGCACGATCTGAGGAGCCGTTCGGCTCGATGTGAGGAGCCTTTCGGCTCGATATGAGGAGCCGTTCGGCCGAATCTGAGGAGCCTTTCGGTTCGATCTGAGGAGCCGTTCGGCACGACCTGAAGAGTCGTTCGGCTCGATCTGAGGAACCATTCGGCTCGATCCAAAGTGCCGTTTGGCTCGATCTGAGGAGCCGTTTGGCTCGATGTGAGGAATCGTTTGGCTTGATCCGAGGAGCCATTCGGCTCGATCTGAGGAGCCTTCCGGCTCGATCAGTGGAGCCGTTCGGCACGATCTGAGGAGCCGTTCGGCTCGATCTGAGGAGCCGTTTGGCTCGATCCGAGGAGCCGTTTGGCTCGATCTGAGGAGCCGTTCGGCTCGATCCGAGGAGCCGTTCGGCTCGATCTGAGGAGCCATTCGGCTCGATCTGAGGAACCGTTCGGCTCGATCTGAGGAGCCGTTCGGCTCGATCTGAGGAGCCGTTCGGCACGATCTGAATTATTGAGAATTGACAATCTCTCAAATCTGATGAATAATATGATGTTTCATGATATAAAAATATAACTCACCAAATGTTCAGTATTGAAATGAAAATTGAAATGTATAGGAGAAGTGGACTTGTATAAACTCTAAACTTGATGAGCTTGGAACTTCCAAAAAAATTATTCGTATCAGTGATATGGGAATTTTATTTTTGATGTTCAGCAGATATAATTCAATGTTCGACGTGTAGTTGTTTTCTGTTAAATATTCAGAATGATGTTATGTGCAAATACATATTTTTATCTGAAGGAGAATGCAAATTCTCAACTTTAGAAGATTCAGTTTTCAAATTCTTATCGTGTGTGTTCAATAGATATATTCAATGTTCGTCGTGGCAGATATCCAGGAAAGTAGTTGTTTTCTGTTGAATAAACCGAGAAAAAATTGATATTTTTATTACATAAAGAATGCATATTCTCAATATATTTCTTTATACCTATATATATCCATGTTTTATTTTATTCAGGTTGATAATTTATCTGAGAATATTCCTTTTCAATGCTTTCACCCAATCAAGGAGTTCAAACTTGAACGATGGAAACTTGTTATTTTTATAGACCTTCAACCGCACATTCGTGATTAGGTTTTCTCAATTTAGAATTTTTGCCACGTCCTGTATGATGAATATCAATTTGTCATACATCCAAAAATTCATTTCGTTGTTTTGAAAATATGTTATGACTAATTGATTTTCTCGTCGCCATTCACGTAAAATAGGTCCAATAATTTTATGCGAGGATCACGAAATGACATCTATTAATCTATCAATTATCATGAAACACCATCGCCGATCGTAAACAAATGATATTGATAACGAAAATTGGATTTGAAAACTACGAAGATCAATTATCCGATAGATTTATTCGGCATATATTTTTTATACTTCCATTTAATTCAATAAATAATATGAAATCAATCACGAACATAAATGTAATATACATGCATACTCTACAACCTTAAGACAAAAGGGCACGTGGGTAGTTGGCTAAATATCTATATAATTTATAGCCTCTAACATTACTTTGATTATATCTTCGGTTGAGGAACCGAATATATCACCTTTTCCATCGGATGGTTATTATAATTATTTCATTCTACCAGTATTTCACCTGATGAAGCTACTGTGTTAGCGAAACATGTCGTGTGATTGAGAATTTTGTGAAAATCTCATCGGTTGTGAAGTTTTTACATCATACAAAAACGTCTGAATCCAAAAAAAAAACTGGATTCAGACAAAAAAGTCTGAATTGACAAAAATGTCACATCCACAAAAATTTCTTGCAATAGCTTTTTGAATGTGTGTGCAGTTCATTCAGCATTATTTAATTCTGTAGATGCAATTTAGTTTTTTATTTTGTTTGTCTAAAAATAATGAATGTTCATTTTCATTGTAAATTTTTCAAAATGTGATTATGGATTTGACTTCTGAATAAGGCACTTAGGAGGCATTTTAGAACATAAGATCCAGAACAGACGAAAAACAAGTTTAACAAGCACAGAAAATCACAAAACAAATTCGTTTACCACTATAGTATGACCATGATCGACAGATAAACTATCATAGTCTAATAACTTGTAGCACTGATATGACGAGTCTGATCAGGAACAACAATGAAAGTATCAGGCATATATTATATCTCAATTTGAAGCACGAATGATTGCCAATAATCAAAAAACAAGTCTAAAACACCGAAGAAATTACAAGAAAAACAGTTTTATCATTAAGGATTGCCTAATAAGTGATTATTAGGGACGAGGTGGGACAATTGTTTGAATTCAGAGAAAAACGTCTTAATTCAGAGATAAAATAGAATACATACAACACTGGCCTTTTTCTTGGCATAATATGATAATTCAGACAACAGTGGCTATAGTGAGCAAGAACGTTAGAAATTAGTTTTATGGCATGAGATTTGGTTTACAATATTTCTTAAATGTCACTTACTTGATACTCGAAGTATGTCATCGGGATCTTCTGGATCGGAAAGTCCTCCCTTTAACAAAATGAATAGATAGTAATTTACTTCTGAATGTGAAAACAGATTGAATAATGTTCTTATACTGCCATGGTAATGGAGAGAACCGTATCTGCAAAAACACTGTCTGGAGTAAACTGCGCATAACTTTGAAACCCTATAGTTTAAAAAAATTCGCAGGACGTTTTGTGATTTTGGTTGGTATCAAAGTTTTTGATGATGTCGAATGAATCGATATTGGGTAAACGCAAAAAATATAGTTTGAAAGCATCTGAAATGCACTAACGGTTATCTAAGCTAAATTAAGAAAATAATTAGAGAAATATATTTGTATCATGAACAAGGTACAGTCGTATTCAATAAAAAAGCCTACAAGTATTGAACATAGAAGATTTTGGCATCCTAGTTCTAGTTGTGTGAAACTGGCTGTTTTTGAGAACCTATGATTACTCTACTGTCAATATTTGGTGAACATTCATTCCCCATAGCCCGTTTTACGCAAATAGGATGACGTTAATTTCTCTCTCAAATATACTTCTATGCTTTTTTTGTATACGACTGTACTTAACATGCAGAACATTGAGAATAATTAAAAAACAAAAATGCCATCAACAGAGTATTCTTTCTCACTGGAAATTTTTAATAAAGTATATTGCTGACTCGGTCACCGGTAAATTTTCCCAAAAATTCAACCTGGAAGTGGGCATGATTCCTGTAAGTTCTTTCAGAAGCTTATCTTTTTTTGAGAAGATATCCCTCGGAAGTTTTGTACTGATGGTAGCTTTGAAATTCCTTTCGCAAACTTTTTTTGTAAGAAGTCTATTTCTCTATAATGATCCTCGAATTCCATTCAGTACTCTGACTACCTTCACTTATGTCATACCTATCCTGCACTTCCATCGGCTGTAACCTCAACACGATTAACAAAATCACGATCAACTTCTACTGGAATATCATGGGTTTCAACAGTTTTGACTGGTGAATTTTGTTCTCTTGTCAAAATTTGTACGTATTTATTATGTTTGGCCAGCGTTACAATTCTTGTTATGCGTGATTCAGCTTTCTTTAGTGAAGAAGTCTGAGGTTATGTAATGATTTCCCAATTTTCTAACTTTTAGAATAACTGAGAGGGTGACTTTATAAAAACTTTTAGCATTTAAGATTTAACATTAAACATTTAAGACTTAAGAGCCTTAAGTGGAGACAGTTATAAAAAAATCAGGATTCTAGGGCGATACATGTCTTGTCATTATTGACATCTAGTTTCTGATACAGAACCAGATTTTCAGAGTTCAGTAAGTTAGAAAATGGTTGGAAATCAAAATTTTATGTTCTGATATTCTATTAATTTATATTTATATCCCTGAAATGATACCCATCACATCCATTATATCTCCACATAATTTCGAAAGTAATCACTATTCCTTGCCTAACAGAAACTGGCTCACTCCATGGATCTTTTGCCAAATATGACATTCTATTGTATTTCTGAAGAACGGTTCAGTATCAATCAGAAGAAAAACAAATATTCAGGAATAACAACACAAGATATCTTGAATTATTTTTGAACGGCGGGAAATTGAGATGTCACTTTTGGATGCGTACTCCTTATTCCATTTATGGTCATTTATCAGCACTTCTTAAGTTGGAAGTTGGTGATCTTTTTAAATCTTAAATGCTAAATCATAAGTCTTAAATGGTTTTATAACATAACCAATGATATTTCCATGTTCCATCTGTCATAAGTGATAAGCCTTAAATGTTAGGTGATAAATCTTAAGTCTTAAAGTGTTTTATAAAGTGACCCTGAAATAAAAAACGAAAGCTCATTGAGTGTTGCAATACTTATTACCACAATATAAATACTCACTGCCTATAAAGAATGCCAATTCATTCAATATCAATGATTAGGTATATTTTACATTTCCACTCATTCACTAGCGAATTCTCGTGCTTCACAAAGTATTAAAAGAACCGTATTTTGACAGTGTCTGTAGATACAGTGTTATAAGTAAGGAATCTGTGATACGATTATTTGAACTGAACTCGTGTGATTAGCTTATGACATGGGAAATATCCATATACTGTTTTGTCACCTACAAATGTCTGTTACGGTCATTCAATATACAACTACCTCCTTATGACGTAACTTTAGGAAAATCGTAAGTGTATTTTCAGGTTTTTCTGTTACAGACACGGCATTTTAAGTTACATAAATCGATTTCTCATCCTAGATTCGCTCGGGCTGACATCTAACCCCACAATCATGAAATATGCTCATACGAGTCCTCTTCTTAACTACGGCAGTATAGATGTTATTGTAATCGAAAATAACAGCTTAGAATTGATCTCTTTACAAGAATAAATATTAGTATTATATCAGTACACTTGTAGTAAGGACAAATCAGATGATTTGCCGCAGAATGTATTTTGTTATTGTTTTACTATTCGGTGCTCGCAAAAGATTGGACAAATATGGGTAATCCTTCTCTTGATGGTGAACAGGTTGTAGTCTGTTCCATCTTCATATTATTATACTCATCTACTTCACAAAATGTATCTGCATTATTTCATAACATATTTTCTGTTACAAAACCGTCTCGGTCTAATTACCAATTTATGCAATAATATTTGGCATTTCTGTTTCGTAAGTAATTTACTTTAGGCCGGTACCTATATACATTGACACGAGGTATGCACGGTGTTTCACACCTATGGAACTTAAATTCACAGGATAACAATTAAGTCAATATGTCAGCTCCTTGTTAGAATTAAGTTTATAGTCTACTATCTAAATCACTAGCTAATAATAATTTGATTGAAGACTAATAATTCATAGGTAACATAAACGATCATATAACTAACGAACTGTACAATATATTATAGAACTAGGAAATGTATGCAGAGTTAAATGGCAAAATGTGTCAACTTTCCAAGTAAGTAATAATATACAGGGTTTCCTTTGAAAAACTGAGTGACAGTTATTTTCATAAGGTCATACTTCTGAACCTCCCTGTATGCTGAAACTGAGATCTGGTTCATAGGTACAATACTTAATGGTCTTATGCAGCTATGTCCCGAATAACAATTTTTGTGAATTCGAATTATGAAAAAAACGTTATTTTTCATGGAATAGTTTTTGCAAAAAAAAAAATAAAAAAAAAATTATTTTATAGAATTACATAATAGAATGCCGAAAACGATCTGGAAGCATCTGTTAAAAAATCAAATGATTGTGCACAAGAATTTCATCATTGGTCATAAAAACGGCCTATTGGATTTTTTTTATGTTCTGGTTCCCACGAAACGGGATATCCTGTAATGTTCAGGTCTCCAAAGTAACCACGAAGGGGTGCGAAGCCTCAACTCGACGGGTTTATCTCGCGGGGATTGCCAAGGGACGAACAATTGTTGGTATTTCAGAAGAGCATCGTCCATGAAAATATCTATAAAATAGAGCCAGATCGCCAACTTTTCTACGGTGTTCCAGAGAAGCGAGTGAGTTTGTGAGCGAGGCATCACCCACGAGACGAATTGCCCTTTTTGGGACAGAATCCAACAGTTTCAGGGTATGTTTGGGTGCTGCACTCCAAATATGGAAACAGTTTTCCAGGACAGGTCGGGTCTGTGCCTTATAGATCATAAGCAGCTGACTGGAAATGAAAATAACTCCTGGCCCGAAACAGAAAACCACGTTTTTGGGATGTACTTTTAGCAATTGATCTCACGTGATTCTCCCAAGAAAGGTTATTGCTGATAGTAATACCAAGCATCGAAATGTATGTCTTCAAAGGTATCGTTACTACTGACAAGCTCATGTTGGGCACAGTGAGATCGATGATGTACCGTAAGCCGCATAGGCATCAAACAATAACCAGTACTTTTCGAATTATCATAAAAACAAATGATTTTATCGAAATTTTACGAGACAAAAAATACTTAAAAATGATTGAACACTTAGAAAAATAAATAGGAAGCCAGACCCCCAGTATTCTGAATATTTGACAGTTATTTCCTGTTTTGTTTTCTTCACACGATGTAACTCTTCGTGTTGAAGTAATGTACCAATTTTGAGATTGCTGTCTTATTAAATACGCAAGTAATTAAAAAAAAACTGTTTTCAATTTCCAACTTTGACACCCTGTATATCGTATATGGAGGGCTTAAATGCAAAATGGAATTTAGAAACTCATATTGTTTTTGTTTAAGGAATATATGGTTAATGGATTGACTTCCTTTTAGCGGACACCCTGTATATATCCGGAAAAAAAGTACTCACTTTTTTATCGTTAGAAATGAGTAATTTATGAAAAGTGACATTTTATAATCTGTCAACAGAGATGAAATCTCAAACTTTTTTCCTGTCACAGAAAAAATTGCAAAAATGGTACATAAACTCTAAATTTGTGGAAATTTAATAATAAAAGGATAACGATAATTATGTAATTCGTTTTGTTGAGTTTGGAGGTTTATATTATGTACCTCCGAATTATTTTTATTTCATGAATGAATGAGACAATAAAGGGAATGTCACGACGAGCTTACACTATCTTTATATCGAGAATCAGTCTGGGGAAATTCACGAAAATAATATGCATGCTTATATTTTAGAATACGCTCTCTTCATTTGAAATATTTTCGACAATGCAGTGTTGCCGCTTCTACTAGAAAGTAGTAGCAACATTGATATTTCGAATGGAACACCCTGTATTTCATCGCATTTTCAGATTCTTCCTGAAGCCTGATTTCATCAATGTATCACACTTGGTGTCTATCGAAAAAGATTACAGAGATATATGGTGTTCAAAATCGAGATTTTCTTACCTTTGAGATTTTTTGTGTGGGAAGTATTCATTATCGGTCAAAACGGCTCACATGTACTAATCTCAACTTTTGATTCACTATTTACTGACGTTTAATTGGAACAGATACAGGGTGGTTCAATATTCAGAATTCTGATCACCCTGTATCTGTTCCGGTTAAATATTAGTAAATAGTCAATCAAAAGTTGAGATAGG